GCATGGACTATACGCTTTTGAAATTTGGAGAGAACCATGAATCCCTTTATATAATCATTTTTAAAATTATTTTCTGATTCATCATGTCCAGATATTAGATTGCTTCTATGCAGTCTAATATAAACATCATGCAAGGGTTATCAATATATCTAATTTACTTGAAAATGTCTCAAAAGAAGTCTAAGTCTCACATGAGTCTAACTTATCTCTTCAACCAAGACAATCAACATATTTCTACTGGTTGTAATATGATGGGATTTCATAGGCATGCTTAAAATTTCAGATGGCCCATTCTGAAATTTGCAATTCTCTAAACTCCCATTTATCAGAAGCTATGTTGAGGATGTTATTCACTTACTTTATCCCTTTAGGGGATTGGCCACCATCTCATCTTATCTTTTTTTTTTTTTCTAGGCAGCTGGCACATTTCCAAAGAAAACTTTGGGCTGCAGGCATCAATTTGTTTTGCTTTATTTTATTTTTCTAAGAACAATTATGGCTACGTCAGACTCCCCCAAGGCAAGTACAACTTTCCAGAGAGTCTGTATGGCTGGGACATAATCTTTATTCTAATTGAAGAATCATAGTTATTACGATAGTAATAAGCCATTTAGGCTGACTGTGAGTTTCTTCTATTTGGATTCAAACCCAACAGCTTCTCTTCCCATGGTTCTCTCTGTGACATGATAACCTGGTCTTTATTTTTCCACACAATTTTGAATACCAGTTGTTTATTTACACTATTTGCATTTCTGATCTGTGAAAAAAATAATAATAACGAACCTTGACAAAAAAAGGTCCCATGTGTAGACTTTCAAATAAAGACAATTGGAGACCAGTGCTTTCTTTTGCAAAATATACCAGCTTGCTATAGCAAGGTTAAATGGCTTCCAAGAAAGGTGCCTGAAGATGGATCAGTGTCAGCAGGTATGTACATATAATTTTATCTCATTATTCGCATTATTTAATGCAACAAAAACAAATAATTCTGTGAATGCAGAGTTGTGAAGCTACTTAAAGCTTGTTTACATTTGATGTTATAAAGCAAAAGTTTCATTGCATATTTATTATATTTAACTGACATAAATTTTCTAACCAAAAGAAAAATGTCCAAAATTCTTTTTTCACAAGTCCAGACCTTCTGCATTCTTCAGATATTTGGTCCCAACATTTCTAGAATATCACACCAGAATTCAGAATTCTGGAAAATAGTTCCTATGCATATGGAAGATGCCCAAACAAAGATGGATGGAAATCTTTTTGCTTTGTCCTTAGAAAAAGCAGGAAATGAATATAGTAACTTTTGAATACAAATTATTTGAAACCCCACAAATTTTACTACAGGTAGTCCTCACCTTATAACAGTTCATTTAGTGAACATTGCAACGGCACTGAAAAATGTGGCTTTTGAGAAGTTTTTCATACTTATGACCATTGAAGCATTTCCATGGCCACATGATCAAAATTCACATGCTTGACAACTCTCCTAGGGTCATGTGACCAACTTTTGTGACCTTCTGATAAATAAAGTCAATGGGGAAGCCAGATTCACTTAACAATGTCTCAACTGCAGCTATTCATGTGGCAAGAAATGTCATAAAATGGGGCAAACTCACTTAACAACAGAAATTTGGGGCTCCATTGTGGCTGTAAGTCGAGGACTACCTGTATTGATCAATAATTGCAGCTAATTTGATACAACAGCTTCCACTCCCCCAAAAGATAAAGGAAAAAATAATTTGCATATAACTTTCCCATCTGAGAATTCTATAGGTATACATCCAAGAAAAAAATTACAAGAAATTAAATATATATATACTTTGCATCTTAAAAATCTCCTTCCATCTCTAGGAGAATTCTATAATTATACAGCAAAAAGAGAGTGAGAGAGAAATATCTCGGCAAAAAAGCAGTTTATAGACTCTTCTCACTCACTTCCTCCCTTGAGAGCTTGTAAAGTTCTGATATATCTCAAATTACGCTGGTGGTGTTGCAGCAGCAACATAATCAATTATTTATTGTGTAATCAAAGATTACACAAAAAAAATAAATGATTGCTTTGGGGACACCGCAATCATTTCTGCTGCTTCATTTGTTGCTTCATTTCTTCTCTCTCTCTCTCTCTCTCTCTCCTGCCTCTCTATCTTTCTGTCTCTATCTGTCTATCTCTTTGTCTCTGTATCTGTTTCTGTGTCTGTCTCTCTCCCTGTCTCTGTCTCTCCCTGCCTCTCTCTCTGTATCTCTCTCTCTCTTTCTCTTTCTGTCTGTCTGTGTGTGTGTGTGTGTGTGTGCATGTGAGTGTGTGTTTGTGACCATAACTTTCCTATTAAAAGCTTGAGCACAGGATAATTATAATCTGTCCTTGACATTATGATTGTTACAGCACCCACATATTCATGGGACCAAATTCAGGTTCTTTGGAGCCCATCCACACAAATGATTCAGATTTTAACTCCTTCTGCATACCTATTTCCATTTGTGCTCCTTTGACTGCCCTGCACGCTGTTACCCCAGCCAATCTCACTCCAACTCCTGCCATTCTTAACTGCCCCAGCTGACTTTTGCTTCTTCCCATTGCTGATGTGGGAAGCCTGGTCTTCTCCTTCATGAATCAGCCTGAGGTCTTCCTGAGGCATTGGGAAGGCTGCACGTCGCCTCCGGAAGATCTTGTATTGCTATCAGTTGCCTCACAAAAGGCCAACCGAGACCTGATGTCAGCAGCAGGAGGAAGCAAATGGCAAAAGTGGGGTGGCAAAAGAAACTGGGGCAGAAAGGTTTATGACAGTGGGTAGAGACTAGGACAGTGAGGGGACAGTGCAGAGCACCAGGACACTCAGGGCAGCAGCACGCAGGATGGCCAACAGGGAATAGATTTGGGGGATACATAGGTAGGTGAGAGGAAGTAGAGGCAAGCAGAGGTGGGGCAGAAGAAGTGTGAGATCCTGGCGTAATGACTACCAAAACTATCATCACTAAGCAGTATAGTCATATAATGTTTTACCTGAGTGCATTTCTTAGTAATGGATATTCTATTCCCAATTAAGGTTGTTAAGCAAGGACTACCTGTATTAATTATATCTTTCAGTGTCCTTTCTATTATTGTTCTCTTGTTGATCTAATAATATTTTGGATTAAAGTCAATTTGTTCATTAACTGTTGTATCTGATGTAATGGGCTAAGATCAATTAAATTACATTTAATAATACATATGTTGTTCTTTATGCTGCATACATTTTTTTCCTCGAAGATCCCTTGGTACTTTTTTGTTAGTGTAGAGAATTAATGTGATTTGTTTCTGTTTTAGACTTTATCTTCTTTTTTATCGTTAATATAAATAAATGGGTTTCCTTTAAAATCACCTTTTGAATTGCTTCAATATCATCTGAATATCAATAGATTTAGATAATAGATTTATATTTGACAGTATGAATCCCAGATCAATGGCTTTATAGTCATTTCATGGCTGATTTGTGATTTGAATAAGCCACCAGTAGGTGGCTGACCTTGGCTAATTTTGAAGAAACAAAGTAAGGTCTGTCCTGGTTAGTATTAAATTTTTATTTAATAGGATAAATTTATAAAATGTGGGGGCTGTGGATGAGAGCCGGATGGAATATAAAAATAAAGATTATAGAAGACAATGGCAAATCACTTCAGTATTGTAATCAAGAAAGGAATATAAATACATCCATAATCACTAAGAGTCTAGCTTAATTCAAGGCATCCCTTGAATTAATCCTAAATGCAATTTTAATTTGTTAGAAAAACTTGAAGTGAAATGTTGGGCCATTTAGCTCAGTACTGTCTATATTGATAAATATCAGCTACGTAGGATCTCATATGTGGGTCTTTCAGGAACTGATTTTTGAAACATTCACATGCTTAGGAATAAGATCTTTTGAAACTGTTAGAGGAAGCATTATGCTACTGTTCTAGAGCTTAGTTTTAGTTAATGACATTGCTTGAAAAGTGTGCTCTTTGTTACTTAAATAAAATTCATTTCTAACAGAGAATAAACAGCTTAGTAATGGTTCCCCAGCACATGCATTCTAGTCATTTCCGACTCTAGGTGCAGTGCTCATCTCTGTTTCTAAGCCGAAGAGCCAGCACTGTCCAAAGACTTCTCCATGGTCATTTGGCCAGCATGACTAAATGCCTAAGGCACAAAGAGCGTTGTTACATTTCCACCAAAGTGGTCTCTATTTTTCTCAAACTGCTAGGTTGGTAGAAGCTGGGACAAGTAACAGGAGCTCACCCATTACGCGGCACTAGGCATTCAAACCACTGAACTGCTGACCTTCTGATCAACAAGCTCAGCATCTAATAGCCTAATGCAATACAAAAAAAAATAGATAATTAATACCTGGTATGAGATTATATGAGATTCTGTTTATTTATACTATTTCTGTTTATACTCTATCTGGTTATTTAAACTATAGTAGCATCATAGCAATAAGTCATTAATTAAACAAAGCGACAGAACATAGCATAATCCTTCCTCCGATTTTGTCTGTCTCAGAAGATCTTATTCCTGAGCATGTGAAAGCCAGTTTCATGTATGAACAAAGGTGTATATACTTAGCAAGCATCTGGCTCAGTTTTTATTAGCAACATCAACATCAATTCTGTTCATAATTATTTTAAATGCCAGAATTAAGTGAAGTGTATGAATGGAGATAACACTAGAGAGATTTGATAAAAGAAATAAAAGGAATCATGTTGCCATTAAGAGAAAGAAGGCAGGGTGAATAAATGGACAGTGTCTCCATCAGGCAAAAACTAAGATAATTAATTCACCATGCTGCTATAGCGTGCTAATTCTAGAAATATCTTTTTAAATGGTAATTATTGTTATCCAGTACGGATATACATTATACAAATGTTGCATTATAATTGTATTTTATTTTGCATATTCTTGTCTATTTCTAACTTGGTTTGATCTAATATGAGGTGACTTACAACCTCGCTTGGAACACCATTAGTTTGTTCTCTATCCATACCTGTCTTTCAGTGAGATCCAGGTTCACAGCTATTTCGTATCTCCGCAGCCTGGTGAGGTAGTTATGATGGGCAAATTCTGCTTCTAACTCTCTGATTTGCTCTTTGGTGAAAGCTGTTCTTTCTTTTCTTGGTTTGCTATTGACCTCAGATTTGTAATTTCCTTCTTGAGAATCTGAAATAAAGACAAAATCAGGTCTGGAGTCAGGAAAATTCTACAATTTATTGGCAAGGAAATATTATAGATGAAAATATTGTTATTGATTAAAACAATATAGTAAATGTTTTATTATAAAATAAATTTAATAAACATGTTTCTAATTTAAAATTATTAAAGTTGACTGGATTATCATAGAATACCAACTCTACCAATGCATTACGGATGTCAATACTAAATATCACTTTAGTTATTCTTTCACTGTTTCGGTATTTTATATTGTTTTATTTATTGGTTTGATTATAAATGTGAGTTACCAGAGTTGCTTAAATAAATACATTGAAATGAATCTACAACACATTCCATGTCAAAATATTAAGGAGACAATCATATGTAAATTATAAGATTATTTGGCCACATTATACTTTTAATCACCAACAACCTTGAGCAACAGAGGGTGAACTGGAATTTTTCTCAGCAATTCATTGGATTGTCAAAGTAAGAGTATATCAATCCTAGGTTGGATAATTGGTGCATGCCAATTAAAATCAGTAGTGATTAATGATTTCAATGCTCCTTTATTAAATCTATTAAATCTAGATGTAATTCATTTGTTCAGTACAAAATGTTTTCAATGCTGTAATAAGAACTTCTATAGTCAACCCGGGCAAAGACGAAAACTACTAATATATGAACCTAATTATTCCTTCATAATTTATACCAAACTGCTATCCCTTCATTATAATTGTTTATGTCATCAGTTTCAAAAGGGAATATAGTCAAAAATTTTATAATGCTTTTATGGAAAATTCATTTAAGAAAAAAACATTTTAAATGCTTTTAATAATTAAAGTATAATATTATTAGGTTTTTTCCCCTTCAGTCCTCCAGGAGTGCACTTGTTATTTTTTATCTATTATATTAACTTGCTGTGAAAGTTCTAATCTCATAGTATAATAGTAATTACAGTCCTATACTAAACAAATATTCATTCAGAATCAATTATTACATGAAATTGTATCATATATCAATTTAAGAGTGCTTCTGACTATTTATGTTCTTTGATATTTTTTTGCTTTTTTAAACTTGATTGATACTGCTTCTATGAATAAGATAAGAACAGAACCCTTGGTCTTTACAACATATTGTTAATTTATGGAAGTTATATCAAATTAGGAAGTCCCCCATACAACATGCTCTTAAATCAAACTATGATTTAGTTATCATATTTTTTGTCTTCTTTATCCCCAAATTTAAAAGCTTTTTGTTTCTAATCTTGGCTATGCTATCTGCTGTAAATCCAAAATTAGCTAGTGTTCCACAAGAGAATCACTGGTAAACTGTTGGCTTCTTCAACCATCTTAAAAATGTCACAGATAAATTCACACTTCGGCTGATGATTTAAATAGAAACTGCTTCAGCTTCCAAAAAGACAGCCTCATAAGTAGAATCTTTATGTCACTGAAGGATACAACATCAGAATTCTGCAGATTATCTTGTTTGGCCACAAAATGTTTAACGACCGCAACTTCTTTTAAGCTGTAAAAGACTTGGATCCATATTAAATAACATTATTTAGAGAAACAATGAAAAAAATAATAGGTTTAAGGATATTTTTATGATAATCTAACCATCATTGGTAGTAGCCATTGAGGAAATATTTTATGGAAAATCCACAGGTCCATTAATTTATTTAAAAAATAATTGTGTACTTACCTGTAACTGTAGTTTAAAGAGATTATCTGAATTCACACCATGACTTATGTACCTATATAAAGCCCATTAGGAATCTTCTATAATCTCATTCCCTATATATACCATGTTACTAGGTTCTTGCCCTAGCCTTTCAATTTGATAACACAGAGTTCCAAAAGACCAGGAGGTCACCTGAGATCAAGTGAAATAGGAAGTAGAGTATATGAATTTTCATGGACTATTCAAAGAACTGAAGTAACAAGTGATTAACCAGTATTTCTTCAATGTGAGCTAAACCTCAAGGTCAAGAAAATATGCTAATATTTTGAAGGTCTTCTGAATGCAAATTAAGCACTTGGAAATATTGCAAATAAGAAAAAAATGTTGCAATTTATTGTTTAGTAAATGTGTACCAATGTTTATAAGTATGCATTTAAATGATATTTACCTACACAAAATTACATAAGTCATTGCCAAACAAATTAGATAAGAACATTTGCCTCTGAAGTATTCTCATGTATGAAATAAGACCATGTCAGAAATCTTGATTTCTTGCGTGGGAAAGAAGAAATGTATTCTGAAAAGAAACTCTAAGCAATTTTGAAAAAGAGATGAATGAAAGAAAGTAAGGAAGAAAAACTAAATAATTTTACTAGAAGAGAAAATGCATATGCTAACTTTAAAAGATCAACAACAAATCAACCATGTTCAGTAGGACCCCTGCCTGTTTGTGGGTCAAGCAAGATGGGATGCTTGCCAATCATTGTTTTAACTTCTAACTTCTGACTGTGGTTCTGTATAGATGCAGATCTCTTGTGTGTGAATCATATAAACTCCAATAAATAATAAAGTAATCAATTAAATGTATAAAAAATAAACTTTAGAATACAATACAGACAGTATCTGGACATTCACATAATGAAAGCAAGATAAGCATCCCAAAGAAATCTTCCCTTCCCTGTATTATTAGCAATACATGGTATTAGGAGGAGATATAATATTTGGGTTTTGTTGGTTTTAAAAAGAGATGTAAGAGTGAATATGATCAACGTTGGTAACCAACCAACCAATCAAACTTTATTAGTCACAGACCAGCAAATAAAAGCATTAAAACAGTAATAACACTAAAAAATAAAAATAAAAGACAGAATAATTGATTGATTTTTTTAAAAATGTTGATAAAATTAGGGGTCGTATATAATTAATGACGGCAGAAAAGATTTTTTTTTCTTTTTAAATTTAGAATGCCAAGTCATCAGACAAAACTAATAAAACCGAGCTGCCAAGGAAAGCACTATTTTAGGCCACTTGCATTAAATTCATGACATCCACAACTAAGCCTGGATAGCTTTCAAGAAAATTCACAGAGAATTTTTTTTTCTTTAGTGATTACTTGTTTAAGGTTTTATTGAATCTTTCGGTTCAGAGATAATTTATTCTTTCATTTAAAAAGTTGCTGAAAGATAGTAAGAATAGACTAATGCCGTTATGATCTGTTTCTGAGTTTCTCAGAGAAATTATTTTGGGATGTCGGAGTCATGAAATTTAAGCTTTGTCTTATATCATAAAAATCTGGCATATTTTTCTAGCCTGTATAACTTTTCTCATGATTTAGCTACTTTATCTGCTTTATCAGCTACCTTGGCTATACTTATATTATATAACCAACATGTGGGTCAGGCATGCCTGCAAGGGAACAAAATGACAGGCACAATCATGAATCAAAGACCCACTCTTAAAACATACAGCAGCATCACAAATAGAAACGGGAAGGATTTCAACCTCCTTAATTATGGAAGTTTCTGATGCGATTATTTCTTCATACTTACAATAGCTTGCCGGACAAAGCAAATGCCAACTTGGTAAGACATTTTACACTTGTTTTACACTTTTACACTTATTCATAAAATAAAGACCAGTAAAAAGCAATGGTGAAATTTTCACATTTTAAACTTCAGCCAGTAATAAGCCACTGAATAATTATTCTCCATTGAATAATATGAGTCATAGTAAAAAAAAAAAATATTTGTATTGTAAACCAAATGATTAGGTATGAATGCAGAATAGGTCACATTATGAGAAGACTAACTCATTACACCTACTTGCCTTTACTATGAGCAATGTTTCATTGGCAGTTTCATTGTGTATCACCAAATATTCATAGACTTGAAGGCTTAGCAAATAATTTATATCCTGACTGTTCATCTTAGTGTTTTCATCTCTGCATGATTGTTTGTTTTATTCTCAGTAATTTGTTTTATGTCATTAATTGAAATATTTATAAAGATATTGAAATATATTTTCATACATAATTAATCATAATTAAGAATAGTGGTAAAGAGTATACAAGATTATTTACTATTTAATCAGGATGAACAGTTAATAATGATAAAATAAAATAGCTCCAGGTATATTTTTAAAAAAACTATCTACATATAGCCATACAACAGAAAGGAATTCATGTGGAAATTTATATCATTTTCTCATAATTTGTACCGAAGAAATAAATGGAAAAGAGATTGTCATTAGAAAATAATGATACACTTTAAAAAAATAAAACTATATGATCCTTTTTTTCATTCTAGTTTACTCCAGATATATTGAACTATAACTTCTGCTTACTTTAAACAACTTATAGAGATGGGTCTTCTATTATAAAAATCTCATACAAACTGGAAAATTAAAGTAACAAAAAGTGATCTGCCAGAACTTTAAACCTGACTTACAATTAAAGTGGAAAACCGTTGGCTGATTTGTATAGCTGATTTGTAATATTACTATGAAATCCTTACCAAAAATATTGCTTATAATAGAATGAAATGGATACCAAGAGACAAAGAAGTGAGAATCCTAATATCTATATTAAGCAGAATAAACACTATGCTCTTTTGCTAAATCTTTCTTTCAGATAAAAAAATTCAGGATTGTTCTTATCCATTCTTCATTTATAAGGGAAGCTAAATTCTTGATTTGTGCCTATTCTTCTCTATTATCTTTAGTTCTCTTTTAAATTCTAGATATACTTTCGACAGACACTTTTCCTTTGAATTAGTTAATAGTATGGCCCTGAATATTATTACAAAAAATATGAATTTATCAGATCCAGTTTAGTTGGAACAGCTGAAAAAAATGTGGCTAGACCAAAAAAAATACCAATTCTTCTCATTTTCAGTAAATCTTTTTTAGAACTATCATCTGGTGATTATTTCAGCTGCTGCTTAGTGGATGACATGAAATTATTGAACCTCCCTGAAATACAGATTGTCTTTTACAATTTCAATAGTTCATCTGCTTAAATAACAAAACACTATTTGTGTGATATA